ATAATAATTAATATATATATATATATATATATATATATGTATATATATATGTATATATATATATGAAAAATTATATATATAATATATATATATATATATAATTTTTAAGATAAAACAAATTTTTTTGCTTTTAATTTTCTGGATTTTCTCCTCTGAACCTGAAAGATTACAAAAAATTATTTGATTTAACAAACAGTTAATAAAATGAACTTACGCAACAATGTCTCATAAACACGTCCCCATTTACGTGAATCAAACGGATGGCATCGTTCGATTCCACAAAATGATATATTATAAATCGGATGATACACAATGGGCAATTGACCTTGTTCAATTTCCTTGTACAACTTTGATGTTTTCACAGCGGCTAATTGTCTGCTAAAGAGAAGTAAATGAATAATCAATCGTTCTTTTAAATTTAAATTCCAAAAAATAACTAATTCCCATACGTTTCAATTGCCACCAATACGAACCATCCAATCAATCAATTAGTACAATACGCTATGTTTTAGTACAATACGTTTATTCAGCAGTGATATATCCATATCGGACAACAAATGTGCAGTTATAGGACCACCACTGATCAATTCAAACTGACCAGATTAATTAACTGATCAGAAATGGGACTAATTAAGCGTCTTTCTCTGTTATTGAACATACCTGTTCGCCAGTGGTTTTTCGATGGAACTTCGATCGGTGTTATAAGTGGATCTCTCTTCAGCCATAATAGATCAGTACATCAATGACTGCAAGTTAAATCAAAATTCAAGTGATACGCAACACCTGGGGCACATTCGAATCCAGGATTATTCCTGGGAAAAAGCGACCTGCTTTTTTTGCAATTCTTTCGGTTCCCGAAGTAACAAAAGCTCACTGAATTTGCTTATTTGAAAAAAATATAATGATAGTAATCTTAATTTTGTTAAAATTAGCTCCAAAAAATGAACTAAATCTATTCCTTTCCAATTAAGTTCAAGGAGAAAAAACATCCCTACAAAGCAATAGCAATGAAAATAATAAGTATGATGATGTAAGTACGCGAAACTAAATCTCGAAGCTTTGACAAAACCACATTACGAAGAATAATATCGAGGAATAAAAGTTGACGAAATATCATGAAAAATTGCGATATTCCTAAGATTAATGTGATTTTCGAGAAGCAATGATGCAGAGATTGAGAAAAACGTAAAATATATCAAGATGTAACATTCCCATAGAAAAACAGACAACATGATGGCATCAACCAATATATCAGGATGTAACATTCCCACAGAAAAACAGACAGCATGATGGCGTCAACCAAGGAAAGACCTAAGCAATAGATGCTGATTTGCCAATAAACAAGAAAGGGAAGAGATTTGAATAGCTAAACATGAAATAGATCAATCTACTTGTGAGGTCTTCCGCTTCTCTCGACAAGTTCCTGTAAATGAGCTGAGATCGGAAAGGCTGGCATAGGAGAGTAGACATTAGTTCAGTGAGCCATATTTTCTTTCTTTGTCAAATTCAACGAATACTTCCATATTTCAATCAGCTAATGATTTAATCAAAAATTGGCACTGTTCAGGTTGATAATGTTCCAGAAACAAGTATTGTATTGGATTATCCTGTTTTCATCTCTATCCCAATGTCAGGTGTCTCTTTTATTCATAAATCTCTTTTTTCGATCATAACTATGTGGAAAATAGCTGAGGGAAACAAACACCCATATTGTTTCCTTCTTGTTCCGATCCGGATTGTAAGGTTCAGGATATGTTCGTTTTGGTGACTTATTGAGATGGAAATACCTTAAGCGTTCAAAGTAAGACATAAAATTCAACGGGATATATCTTTTCTTTCCCTTTTTAATTTTCCTTCTTTCCTGTTTATCGATTTGTGGCCTGTGAATTGGAGTACTTCGTCATGCGCTACGCATAGTTTGTCAAACATTTTCACTGCTGTATTTGTTCTTGTGGTTATTCCTCAGGTCTGGGGTTATCCGTTCCGTTTTGTGTATGCTGTATTAGTACTGGCTACTCTCACCGTCTGGTATGGAAAGGGAGACTTCGGAATAGCCAACTGTTATAGTTTGGTCACGCTCTTGTGATTTTGTTGTTGTTGTTGTCGTTGTTGTTGTCGTTGTTGTTGTCGTTATTGTTGTCGTTGTTGTTGTTGTTGTTTTTGCTACTACTACTACTACTGCTATTATTGTTGTTATTGGTGTTTCTTTCCATTACTTTTAGTTTTGCGCTTACGGTAATACATTAATGATCTTATTTGTTTATTTCTAATTTATTTATTATCTATTCACTAACATTTCCTTAATTCATTCATT